TCGAGAAAGCAAGACAAGCTTTCATTACTCTTAAGTCTGTGTGGAGGTTAACACCCAGCACTCAGCATGAAAAATAAGATCCGGATTTTCAACTCCGGTGTGAAGTCAGTACTACTCACAATACGGATCAGACACTTGGCCAGCGAGTCATGAACAGCATCTCAAACAAACTACAGACCTTCATCAACAGCTAGGTGTCTTCGCTCAATACTACTGAAGATCAGATGGCCGGTCAGTAAAGATCAGCAACAGGGATCTCTGACAATGAGCGAACCAACACAGTAGGAACCGATTGTGAAACAAATAGGCAGGAATAAATGGAGGTGAACTGGCCATACTCTGAGACAACAAACCATCAAGTGACATCACTAGACAAGCCATTGCTCGAGTGTAACCCGAAAGGGAAGAGGCGAGTTGGTCACGGATTGATAGCAGTTAGAGAGAACCATTGAAAACACCACCAGGTAGTACTGGACAGCTGTTTCATCCTAGTTTGAGAATCATCGGTAGTATGCAACCCTCCCCCCATTGGGGTTCGAACCTCGGACCTTCCGGTTACACGTCAAGCTCGTATACCACTTAGCCACTGGGACTCGATTTAATGGCCAGCCCATGAATCCTAACTTCTACCAATTCGTGATTTAGCGCGGAGTTAGAATTCATGGGGTGGCAAGTGAATCGGGTCCCAGTGGCTATATGATTGACGAGCTTGCCTTGTAGCTGGAACTTCCTGGGTTCAAACCCCCAGCGTACTGCTGGTGATTCCCAAACTAGGCTGATGAAACGGTTGGTTGTCCAGTACTCCCTGGTGGCGATTTTCAATGGTTTTCTCTAGCTGATATCAATCTGTGATCCACTCGTAAAAGCAAATAACAACTTTGTACTTCACCGATCAAGGATATGTATAAGGAGACTACTTGTTAAGTCAGTAGATTACAGATGTCTCATTGAATATAACCTCTTGCTTCCATTGAGCATATTTGCATGGGATTGTGAATCCTTGTGGAATAGCATGACTGAACCACATAAACTGAGTACAACGACCTCCTGTTTCTAGAATTGTCATTCTAATGAACATAAGATAATGACAACGGGAGAAACAAAGCTCATATAAATGATGTAAAGAGATGATTTTAGGTATTTGTTTGTGATGTAGGTCATAATAAATACACACATTGCTGAATATTCGTTCATTCATCAGTGTCTTTAATATTCCCAGCGATTTGATTGCTATCAATTTTTATTCCAAATTGACAGAAGTTAGAGAAAAACTGAACTCAGACAGTTGTATTGTCCTTGTTCGGGGTTTTCAACAGTACTTACCAATGGACCCTATCCACCGGGGATCGGACCCAGCACCTTCATTCACTTACTGGGACGAAATCCAATGGCTAGCCAATGAATTCTAACTTCCACTGATTCGTGATATGCACCACGATGGCTAGCCAATGTTATCAGCAAGTATTTATCCTCACACCTGACTTGTTGGACCTCACTGGTCACAACTTCTCACTAGAGCTACTGGGTTGACCAAGCTAGGTGTGAGAACGGATACTCGCTGACGACATTGGGTAGCAGTTGCGCTATATACATCGAAGTGAAAGAAATTAGGATTAATGAACTGGCATTGAATTTTGTCTTAGTGGTTGAGTGGTCAACCAGCTCACCGTATAACCTGATAATCCCGAGTGGGGTCATCAGTGTCTATTACCGAAAAGTCCAAAACAAAAACCAGACAACAACTCCCTGATTTTCAATTATTCTGACATTAGTCAGTTCGTGATCGAGTTCCGTAGGCTATCCCAAAAATACCAAGCATATTATCAATATTCGTATTATCAAACAGGTTAAAAGCCATGCGAATAAATGAATGTATGAAAGGGACGAACCCACCAAATTATTACCAACTGCTTCCTGATCGGTCAGAAGTTGAGAATTTTAAGAACAAGAACTCCAACTGCATTGTTTTGTTCAAGGTATACCATCACCTGAATGTTATACTGACTCTACTATTACTATTTGCACAAAACTATGAACGGCAAGGTGGAGTCACTTGGATATAAGTAGCGAAACCAAGCATTCCTGATATGATAGGCTGCATGAGGCGGCATACAATCAGGAAGAATACAATTTTATATTTAGATAAAGCGATAAGAAGACGTAATTTGTCTAAATCGTGTAATGTATTTGCGCAACACAATTCGAACAATCTGATCCATCACACACGGACTTGTCATAGGAACATATATATGAAATTAATAAAGAGTTAGGGGGAGAGGAAATAGACTTAGGTCAAGTTAAAAGGACATATTGAAGGTCAAAATAACAATGAAGACCACTAAACCAAATAACAGAGGTAATAGTACATTTACCCTGACCAGTATCGAAACAAAGTTTACCAAGGAAGATAGGTTTGGCGTGATGACGAATTGTTGCTTTGAACGCATAAACGTGGTTTAAACTTCATAATTGCCAGCTAGGGCTTCCACATACTTTAGGATACTCCCTCTCTAAAACACGTTCTATAGATAGGTTTAAAAGATCTGTTAACGTCAGTTTTATGTCCTGTCTCAGTTTCTATAATATGTTTCGCACTAGAGGAGTTAGGTTTCCTGTTCGCGCCATTATAAGGTTCTCGGGATTCTGTTTGCTTCTGAAGCCACTTAAGAATATCCCCTGAAGCCAGCCCTTACTTGCAGAGATCGATGAGTCCTCCCTATGTATCTGTGTTTGCACACGTACATTCAAATAAGTAAATACATTGGGATATGACGTCATTTTTCGCATGTTCGAAGGGTTTAGATAGATATATTGGTTTCACATTCTCAATTATATGATCTTAGCTGCACAAAAAGTCTTTTTAACAACAGCGTTCAGTCTTTGTCCAGTTATCAAGCTGCTATGATGCCACATATAGGGTAGCTTGGTGTACACGTCTTCCTTAGGGGCGAGTTGTAGAGTGGGTCTTGGTGTTCTGACTACTTTATATCTCCTGATGTACTTGTCTGGATAGTCGTTATCAACTTTCTTCCTATCTCATCAAATGTGTCTTCAGTGCATATTCATTGGATTCTACTGAAGAGGCACCTTACTACGTCTGTTTTGTACCGAACAGGACAGAAACTGTGGTAATTAAGATACTGTCCTGTCCAGTTGGGTTTTCTATAAGTAGATCGTTTTATTGACCCATCAAGCCATCCGTCGACTAAGCAATATGTCTAGGAAAGATAAACAATTATCTTTCTCTTCCACAGATGTAAGTGATATGCTCGCTATTCTGAACTTCATTCAACCGATTTAAAATTGACAAGTCCGTGTGTGTGAGGGATCAGATTGTACGAAATGTGTGTTGTGCAAATACACATTACATGATTCAGACAAAATGCGTCTTCTTATTGCTCTATCGAAATTCACAAAGGGAACTAATTGTTTTAAACAATTTTATACGTTTAACTATAAAGTTTGAAGCGCAGATATGACAATGAAGTAACTTTTACAGTTATAGACACTGTCAAAACCTCTAGAATCGTCCAAATAAGTACCCCACAAAAATTTTACCCATTCATAATTTAATGTGAAATATCTAAATAATACAGTATTTATGCAGTTATATTAACATATACCAACACTACAAGAAACATTGTTGTTAAGGAATATGTCATTGAAACTAATTATGAATGAATGATTTAAAAAGCGCCCAAAATATTCTACCACCAACTAATTCCTGACTGATAAAAGTTGAGAATTAATAAGGAAAGAAAAACTGCATCCTGATTGATTTTATGCAAGGTTACCACCACCACCACCGCCACCTAAACGCCATAGTGACTTGGCATCTAATTTGCACAAAACAAAGGTGTGAACGACTTCAATTACAAAGAGCACACAAAAAATGATTGAAACAAAAACAATACAAGGAATATAGTAATAAGCTGATATCAGTTAGAGAACCACTGGAAAACCACCATGGAGTATAAACTAGACAGCTATCTCATCAGCCTAGTTTGGGACTCTTCATCAGTACGACACACGCCATGGGGCTCGAACCCAGGACCCTCCGGTTACAAGACGAGCTAGCTGGTAGACCATTAAACCACTAGGAACCAATCCAATGGCCAGCCGATGAATTCCAATTTCCGCCAATCCACCAACAGCCAGTGTCCCCCCCTCTGGCTGAGAGTACTCCTCCTCATCCCTGACTTACTGTACCCCACTGGTCACAACTTCTCACTAGAATCCAGGTAACTACCTACAAGAATAGGGCGAGTCGGCAGTTGCTTAATGGTCTACAAGCTGGCCTTGTAACCAGAAGGTCGTGGATTCGACCTCTACGGTGTGGATACATACTGATGAGGAGACCCAAGCCCTAGGACGACAAAAACATCTGCCCAGTACTCCAGTGCTGGTTTTCCAATGCTTCTGCTGTAACCAATGTCAGCTCACCGTGATGAAATCCTGAAACCAATCAAATCTCTGTAAAACAACATTTAAAAATCTCAAAAAGCAGGGAAAACTCTTTCTTTTCTATAGAATTTCAGTATGTCATATGACTAGTACTAATAGTAGAAATTAGAAATTAAGAGCTGAAGAAGGACTTTTATACCATTTCAGTGTAAATGGAAAGTAAAATAATAATAAGTGTGTGCAACTTATAGGGAAATGTGTATGTTGTGAAAGATACATAGATAGACAAAGTGTAGTGTGAAAGACACTCATATAATACACATATAAAAGGTGTTAATATCGAGAACATCAAGAGTGAGGAAGCACACTAAGACACGGAGAAAACACACGCAGCCACACACACGCACACACATACATCAATAATGCCTAAATGTTACACACGCACACACACACACAACGCAAGTGTAGTACATACATAGAAACACAGAAATGCATACATTGCGCAGAAGAAAATACATAAACGAGCGAAACAGTGTGTGTGTGAGGGAGAGAGACAGTACCAGAGGTGGTGGACGTGGACGATGATGATGACCTACCAAATTCACTTGTTTCAGTTTCTGAATTACTTGTAGGATAATCTTCTGTATATAGAATTTAATTATATATTTTTCAAAAAAATTAGAATGAAATGATACGCATATTTATAGACATATTTAATTGAATTAATAAACAATACGTTCAAAGATAAGAATTATTATTACCATTATATTATTGTCTTTTATAGTTCCTAGAGGAAAATAGGGCTTCAGCCGCGCATCTCCATTGCGTTCGGTTCTCCGCCAACACTTTCACCTGGCTCACAGTTTGCTCACACGCTTCCATCTCCTCTGCACATCATCTTATCCCTGCCACCCCCTCGCACTGACGACCAACTCACCGCTTCCTATTAGAGTTCAACTCGACCAATGGCCTGGCGTGTTATATCACTCACTTGAATGTTTGTTTTCTCAGAGTATGACCAGCCAATCCACCTCCATTTCTTCCTGCATATTTGTTGCCCAATTAGTTCCTGCTAGGTTGGTTGGTTCGCTCCCAGAGATCCCTGTTGCTCATCTTTTCTAACCGGCCACCTGATCTTGAGTGGTATTAGGAGAAGACAGCTATTGACGGTCTGTAGTTTGCTTGAAGTGCCTTTCGTGATGCAGCGCTGTGCCAAGTCTCTGATCCGTATAGTAAGTGACTTAAAGGCTTGTCTAGCCTTCCCGATCCCCGCTTTGATATCCTCTTCATTTCCGTCCGCCTCTAGTTAAGACGATGATTCCAGGTAGGTAGGTAAGGGAGGTTGCCTTAATCAGATTTCTTTCATTTATGCTGGCTGATTGTTGTCGCTGTTGGTCAGGAATCTGCATCACCTCGGTTTTATCTATGTTCACCTGAAGGCCTATCTTTGATGCTTCTTCTGCAACAACTTGTTGCTTTTTGCTTGCATATCTTCCAGTTTGTGAAAAATCATACATACATCATCAGCGAAATGCAGATCATCCAAGTTTTTGTGTGGGTCCATTTTATGCCTGTCTTCTCGTTGGAGATATTAGGCAGCCAGATTGTCTTACTGCCGTTTTCACTTTGAAGGATTCTGTGAGTTTCCCGTTTTCGACTCCTTGACATCCGGCATTATCGTACAACTGATGAAAGAGGTGTATAATTCTTGGTGACAACCTCCATAGTATATAATTAAGGAAGAAATGAAGGTATTGTAGGCAGTTGTGAAGCCAATTATAAGTAGTGACGAAGAAACTGAGATATGTCGCTGAAGCTTGAATGTTGAACTCAGAATGACGGAAATAATACAGTGAACTGATTAACTAATGTTTCCTTTATTCTATGAAAGCAATAGTAAGCAGAGTTTGATATGAAAGAAATAAGTAGATATGGTACAGGAGTAGGATGTTACGCAAAGGAATAACTAAATATCATCAATTGAAGAGTCGATTATCTACTCCAACCACCAAGACAACAACGATGAGGGGGTGCTGGCTATCATGATTTCTTCAATGGTATCAAAGACTCTTGTATGACTGGAACTAGTTTCCTTTATGATTATGAAATGGCGATGGACTGGAAACACGCTGAAGAGACTGTTGAGTAGCACCACATGCCAGTTAGGTCACTGAGTGAAATCCGAAAGAGAAGCGATGTGGTGGACGTGGGTCAGAAGAGATCATTTGAAGAAAACAATGTGAACAATCTTCAAGTTACAAGCAAGTGATGACAGAAAACCGAGTGAAATGTTCTACTCAGATCGCAAGGAATGAATAATGATGATAATAATATATAGTAAACTTGAACTCAACAATATTAAATAATCCACACCAGAAGGCTAAGTAAAATGAAATTCAACAGGTTGACGGAATCACACTTTAACTTCAATTGTGTGTTTGCGAATTGACATCTATCTGTCCGTTGGCAAATAATTAAGAAGGCGGAGTGGAGAGACAGTTATCTAAGAGGATAGTTGAAAACACATGACCCCAAGAGTCCACGTCTTACAGGTTCGACTTAGTTTAACACAGCCATTGCTCGACACATGCTTGATTGATGTAGCACACAAGATCAACACATATATACAAAGCACTTCACAGCCTACTTTGAAATACTAAAGCTGTTACTATCCAACATGAATTAGGTGAGTATTAAGAGACTGGTATTGACTTAATATTCCTACTTCGATAAACACTGATTCATTCACCCTAACTCGTTCAAAATTCCGATTTACTTTTTAATGACGCTAATATTCCTTTAAAATTTTATCAATTAGTACCATTTTCAAGTATTTGTTTAGATAGGAAGTCTACACCTTCCTATGTGGCTTAAACTAACTGTTGTGGATTTCATTGACTGGTGCCATATTTTGGTTTGACCACCGCTAGCTCTTTTTCGGCCTGACCCAGTCAGCTAACATTGCTCGTCAAGGAAGGGGATGACTAGGCATACGTAACACACGTCCTAACCATCTCAGTCGATGTAATTTCACAGCCTGGTCGATTGATTTCTCCTCCTTATATAGCACTCGATGCCTAACATCAATATTGCTCACCTTATTATACCATTTCGCACGTGAGATAGAACGCAGACACCTATGATCAAAGACAGCTAATCTTTTCATGTCTTCCACTCACAATGGCCAGGTCTCACAGCCATAAAGGAGGATGGAGCGGACTGCCGGGCAGTACACCATCCCTTTTGTCGATAGCCGGATATCACGTCTGTGTCAGAGACGGTGTAAACTGGCATATGCGAAACTAGCCCTCTGTATCCGTGTTGAGATCGACTGATTGGTTACAGGATATCATCATGGTGATCTGACATCGGTTATATAGCCATTGGAAATAACCAGCTGGGAGTACCGGACAGCTGTTTCCACCTTCCTAGTTTCGGATTCTTCATCAGTATGCACCCACACCAAACCCAGGACCTTCTGGTTAGAAGGCGAGCTAGCTAGTAAACCACTAAGACCCTGAGACCCGATGCAATGGCCAGTCCATGAATCCCAATTTCTGTCAATTCACAGCACAGCGCGACCGCTAGCCAATGTCATCAATGGTGAGTATTTCTCCTCACACCCGACTAGTCACCACTTCCAACTAGAACTCCAGGTAACCACCTACCTGAACAGGGCCAGTCGCCAGTGAGCATCTAATTGATATTTAAGTATTGATTTGTAAGGATTTTCGTTTGATTGGTTACAGGATTTCATCATGAGTTAACGTAAGTTAGAGAACCACTGGAAAACCTTGGAGTACTGGACAGCTGCCTCGTCCTAGCTTGGGACTCTTCATCAGTATGCACCCACAACCACGGGATTCGAATGGTTCTCTAACCGATGTCAGCTCATCATGATGAAATCCTCTTGTAAGCAATACCATTTGTTTTGTCCCACTCCTGTTTCCCTTTGTTTGAATAACTATTCACATGATTACATAACCCGCCTCCATTTATTGTTTGATGATGAATACATTTTTTTCGATTCTAGAATATTCTTCTCTTTACAGTAAAATAGAGAGGTGTTTCTATTTTTTTTTGCCATAATTGATTATTTTTATTGTAACATCCGGTATAATTTGTACTTTGTCTTCACTTTCATCTCCACATTTAATTCTACACTCGCGTAAAAACAAAACTCCCTTTGGCTATTTCACAGTGTAAAGTAATTTGAAATTATGTCATAGTGATTAATTCGTGCATTTTATTATTGCTATTATTATTATTATTCAAGTCTTATGGGACTGACGAAAAAATAACCCTACGAAATAGTAAAAATGAATTCATCTCATCTTCTGAAGGCCAAAAAGGCCCTTCGTGTAGCGCATTATTCAAATGTAATCAAGGGAAGTATTTGCAGGACTGAGAAAATCTGAAGAAGATGGGATTTTAGGAGCTATAGCAATCTGTTCTAATTTATATATTTTATTCTCGATTTACAAGAAGGGAGACAAGTTTTCCTGTGATAATCACGGGTGGATCAGCTTGACCGATATGCTATCTAGTGTTCTGGGCTCAATAATCATGTGTAGACTAAGTGGTGCTCGGGAGAAACAAACACGAGAAAACCAGACAGGCTCTAATCCAGGGAGAGGGTGTATTGATCATATCTGTAACCTTCGACAGATTCTGGAATATAGGCGTACTACTACTTACCAGTATCTAACAATCGTCGTATTTCTTGACATAGAGGAGGCATTCGATTCTGTCGACCGAGAGGTACTATGGCGATGTCCGTTTGTAAAGGAATGACGAGAAAATACATCACATTGATCAAAGCACTGTACTCCAACTCATGCAGCTAGGTGAGAGAGTATGGAGAGTTGTCATCTGAAATGGTGACAACAAGTGGTGTCTATTAGGGATGCCCACTGTCTCCATTTGTCTCTAGTTTCATCATAGATGTACTGATGAACTTAGCGACTCAGGAAATCTTCCCTCCTTGGTGGAGACGCTGACAAAATAGAGCAGAGTTTTCTGAACACCTTGAGCTGCAATCTTCGAATGTTTGGCATGCGATTCGCTCCTGCTGTCAAATGTAAGATGATACCACAGGACTGGAATACATTGACTCCTGGCTTATAAATAGACGCTAAATTACGCCATTCCTGATGTAGAGGTGATATCCGGTTGTCGACCAGAGGACGTGCGTATTGCTCAGCAGTTCGCTTTGTTCTCCTCTATGGCTGTCAGTGAGACATCGCCACTGAAAGTCGAAAACATGAAAAGCGTGGCTAGCCGTGTTTGATCATAGATGTTAGGTGGTACAGTAAGGTGAACAATATTGAGGATAGGCTTCGATCGAGTACTAGGTAAGGAGAGGAAGTCAGTAGATGGGATTGTGAAGTTACACCGATTGAGATGGTTAGGATATGTGTTGCGCATGCCAGCCTAGACATCGATCGCCCTCCTCAACTGACGGGTAATGTTAGCTGACATAAGATCAGGTTGAAAAAGAGCTAGCTAGTTAATCGAATCTCCAACAGTTAGTTTGAGCCAGCCAGCCACGAAAGGGGGTGTAGACGGGCTTCCTGGTGTGGGTCCTCGTGATGGTGAAAACCAATCAAGGCTGGAGACAATGGTGATATGACTCAAAATCATTGTAAATGGATGACACAGATGTATCCACTCCTTGCGATCCATAATATCCAATAAAACTGTATTGTTCTTCCACATTACTATTCTTTTTGCCTCGCTCACACTTCTGTTTACTATCTTTCTCTCTTTTGTATTTCTATTTACTCTCTTCTCTTGCTCTGTGTACTTTAAGGATGGAGTTCGGTAACTCGAACTGCTGCACACCTGGGCAAAGTTCTACACTGAAACCAATCCGTCAGTCAAGCATGAGCGTTGAACTTTCAGTATCAATCGATTCAATTTTTTAAAGGGGTGGGATTGTCGACCTGAGCCCAACCTTCTTTGTGTTGACCAGGTATACCACCGGCTAACCGAGGTCTAGGGGGTCGAATCCCAGATCATATGCGTGGTTGACGAGCATTCTACCACTGCACTATTGATGCACAGCCTCTTTTAATACACTGTCTGAACGAAGAACTCAAGATTGTTTAGGCAAATACTGAGGGAAAATGGATAACCAGTGAAGTTTATTGACAGCAATATGAATCTAAAGCCGAGAGAAACGCAAGCATCCACAGTTGAATAGACGATCTTATTCCTGAAACTGTTGTTCCTTCATGGTAACATCACTGAAATATAATACAAAGGTTAAAGAATGCAGTAACAACAGCAATCAGTGTGAAGCACAGATACACTTCCTCTCCACAACAACTCGAAAGTTAAGAAACAATTACTTAATTCCGCCTCCTCTTTGTGTATCTAACAGTTTGACTGCTCCTGTGGAGCCAGTTAAATCGGGAGTACTACTAGGCATGGTCACCATCGGATTTCTGAACATGATCCTGCTTTGTAGTTAAGCAAAAAACCGACACACAAGATCTATGCATAGCTTGATTTTAGCTGATTCTTTAGATACTGAGAGTAAAATTGATGTTAGCAAGGCTTTTCATGTTATCTACCGTATTCCGACTAATCCCAATTTCACGCTACCAGTTCGACTTTTACAATATAGTTAAAGCCATTAGAAGCCATCTGAAGAAATTGAACACTTAGGTGTCCAGAAGAAATTCGTTCAAATACTCTGTCTACCTTGGCTATCATTGCCGTTTTAACTATCTATAATTGTCGCAAAAATTCACTTGATTTGATGTCGATATTATATAAATATAAAGAAACAGAGGCAAGACAAAGAATGCCTCTCCACTGAAATATGGAATCACATAGGAGGATGATGAAACAGAAGATAAACCAACATTCGAGGATGAACAACAGAAGGAGGAGTTGAGTTCAATGTACGACGCATTCCATAAAGAAGAGAAAACAGGAATATGTTGGAACGATAAGAAGAAGAAGAAGACCTCGACTTTGCGGACGATTTATGTCTAATGTCAGACTTACAGGTGAAAACCAAGCGATCGGCAGAAGGAGCAGGCAGAGAAGACAGGACTTCAAGCGGACATAGAAAAGACGAAGGGGATGAAGATAACCAACCAACCAGCCAGTAACAACAACAAACACCAATCCCTATCAATGGATGAAATTTGGCAAAGGTTACTTCCTCTACTTATCTAGGAAACCAGCATCGTTTCAACTACAGGCAAGCAGAATCGGAAAGGCAGGCGGACATTTATCACTCCATTCTGCAGCAGAAACAACGAAATTCCGATTTTCAACAGCAATGTCAAGTCAGTGTTCAACAAATATGGGTCAAAGACTTGGAGGGCCACGAAAAGCATTTCCAGGAGGCTATTGCAGACTTTTATCAACAGTTTCCAGCTACACTGACTCCATACTGAAGATCAGATGGCCAGTCAGAAAGGATTAGCAACAAAGAACTCCAAGAACGAACCAATCTAGAACCTATTGCTCCAGAAATATTCTTAAGAAAATGGAGGTTGGTCAGATATACTCTGAGGAGACCACTGAGTGACACGGAACGTCAGACAAGCACACCCGGCTGGAACCCGAATGGGGAGACAATGAGTTGAGCATCATTAGAAGGTGACTTGGAGGAGGAGGAGGAGGAGATGAAAGCCAACTGGATATAGGACTCTAGAGCACTGGACAAAATGGAGATGTGCTGTTGAAGCCTTATGTTCCACTAAGAGGAAACCTAAGGGAAAAACAATAATTAGAGTAACAAACAGCGTAAGAGGATAGACAGTTTTAGGCCAGTTAATTGTAAAACTCACCTTTAGTGTCTAAATTAAAAGCAGAAATATTTTCACAAAAAAAGTACTTTACCAACACCATACACTTTTCAGAGGATAGAAATTTGTTATATCTCTATACACATATATATATGTTAAAATCAGAAGTTGTCTAACGACTGTGTATAAATGTGACAAGACACAAGTCAACAAGCAATATCCTTTTCATCAAAGCTGTACAACAGTTGAAATGTGTACTACACAAATACTCTGAATCCCTTAATCTTAAGAATGATTCCTATTTTAGTGTTAATCATTTCTGAACGTTATTCATCACATTGTTTAGTACTTTTTTTTCTGATTACATAAGACTACACTACTTAACTAAGTTTCTCAATTACGCCATTTGTTTTCTTTTTATATGTTTATATGAGTTTGACCACGGATGGATAGCATTTAGAGAACCATTGAAAATCACCACCAGGGAGTACTGGACAGCTGTTTCATCCTAGCTCGTGAATCATCAGCAGTACACACCCACGTCGTGGGGTTCGAACTCAAGACCTTCCAGTGACAAGGCAAGCTATAGCTCGTATACCATCCACCCACTGGGACCCGATTCAATGGCCATAGCCCATGAATTCTAACTTCTACCAATTCGTGATGCATTTAGCGCGACTGGCACCAACTAATGTCATCGGTGGGAACTCCATCCTCACACTTGACTGGATGGTCACGACTTCTCCCTAGAACTCCCGGAAACTATGTCCTCTATGTGTAATTTTATCAGGTGTTTCGTTACCTGTCAATATTATTAAATATTTGACCTTTCTTGATATATGTCATGACCTCTACATGACTATTCTTTTCATACATTACAGCACAAACATTATTTCGGGTAGGTGGTTCAATTTGTTTTGTTGTTGTTGTTGGTGGTGGGTATTGGCAACCACTTGGGACTTATCAGTCAAAAATGTACCTCCGCATCCTCAGTCAGTGATGGTGTTCTAACTGAGACGCATTTGAACCGATGGCTACCGGATTCGAATCTCAGTGGAAAAGCCATCCCTGACTGAAGTGAGCAGGGATACCCAGTATACACTTTCTTGAGAACGAAAGAATTAAGTTCCTAAAGCAACAGACGATATAACAAGCTCTTTAGGAGCAGTTGGATTGATAGATATGCATACGAAGAGATAGCCAACCAGGCAGCCAGCCAGCCAACCCAATTACTCTCTGTATGTCAGTTTCAAAATCACAATTCTGTAGAAAATATAATAAGCTGCACAAATTTACCACAATCCAAAATCTCATTTTATTTGGAGGTTGTTAGTGGCCTAAAAGATGTTGTTTATAAAGGACACGAAAAACATTCACCAGAACTTTAATAGTCTATTAGGTAGGTAGAGAGAGAGAGAGAGAGAGAGTAAGGAGGTCAGAAACTATGACACACTAGTTAGAAGACAAATGAGCCACAAAACTACTCAGTGGGATGTAATTAGACTAAGAAAAAGGGAATGAAAAATATTTAGTAGTATCGTCAATACTAATGGAGAATAATTATTCACTTACTATTAGTTTGTCCTGGTGTAGATATAAAGGAAATACACAATTGTACTGAGGTCTTTTTACAAGTGTACGGATAAGCGAAAATATATTGAGTGTTAGTGAAATACAACAAAATACGGCTTATTACAAATCTGATCACACATTGATGTCAGTGCTAGAGAATCACTGAAAACCAGCTAGGAGTACTAGACAGCTGTTTCGTCCTAGTTTAGGACTCTTCAACAATACGTCCACTCAGCGGGTTTTCAACCCAGGATATTCCAGTTAAAAGGTGAGCACGTACACCATTCAGTTACTGAGATCGCCTTTAATGCCTCACGAATTGTAACTTCTACTAATTAGCGAGTTTTAGCGCCATCACCACCACCCCCACCAGCCAATGTCATCAGCACCGAGTAGGTGTCCTCCCGACTCCCGACCAGTTGGTGGACTCCACTGGTCACAACTCACCAGAACTCTAGGAAACTTCGTCCAGAAGCCACTCCCTACTAACGAGGCTCAGATTAATTGTCAAGCGTTAGTTTGTAGGGATTTGATTTGTTTGAGCACAGATTGACGTCAGTTAGAGAGAACCATTGAAAACCAGCAAGAATTACTGGACAGGCTGTAACTGTTGTCCTATTTTCGGATACTTCAACAGTATGCGCTCATCAAGGGTTCGAAACCGGAACCGTTCGCTGATTCGTAGACTATTCAGTCACATGCGACTCGATCCAATGACCTATAAAATCCTAAACCAGGACGAAACAGCCGTCCACTCCGTGATCAAACGAACTTGAAATACATTAAGATCTCCACAAACTAAATCATTCACAACAAAGACAGACAACATGTGTTATCAATGAAAGAATCGAAAAAAAGAAAACACCAAATTCCATTCAAGACATACATCATGTATGTGTATGCATGAACTTTGGATTGAAACAAAAAGCTGTGTTAGACTGCTTTTTGATTTGAATCAATAACTGGACTTTTTCTTTTTATTCCACTGCAATCCGAGTGGGAAAGTGAGGAGTCAAGATTTCAAATTTTTGATTTCCAGTGATTTTATTATTACGGGCTGTGGGGATTGCTAGCCTCACATTCAACTTTCACACATTTCAAGGTCTACTGTAGGCTAGTAAGCTAAACAAACTTTAGGAATAAGTCGGTCGCGAATCCAACCTTGACTAATTGGTGTGACTAACTGTCTGATTGAATTTCAATAAAAAAAAACTTTGCACAAAAGTGCAGAAGTTCAACTTGCTGTCACACACTCCATGTGTAGTACACACAAAAGGTAGAGAAAAGATGGGAAACGAGCGATTCAAAGGAGCTTAATAAACATAAATGTATGAGAAGAAATAGTAACATAAAGAAACACGAGGGTTTAATGAATACAAGGGATAACAGAGAGTGAATGCATCTGTGCCATTGAGAACGATTTTGAACCATATCAGCAATAGTCTCCAACTACTGACTCTTGAAATCCATCCAAAGGATGTCAATTAGGCAGCTTACCCCCTCCCGTCCCAAACTGGGAAGAAACAGCTTTCAAGTGCTCCTTGCTTGTTTTTAGGTGACTCTTTAACTGACACAAATCACAGCTTGCGATCAAACTTGTCATCCTGCTTCAGCTAACATCGATGTTGTCAAGGAAATTGGGGTCCAGATATGCGCACCACAACACTAGACATGTACTAAGTCATTGAGTATTTACTTCTTCGTAGACAGATTTTACGTAAGTCTCAACACCTAATATAGGCATTACATAATATTGCTAACTGTGTCAGTGGTGAATAGTATTCACCAAAACATACCAATGTAATAACCACAGGTATATTCTCTCAGGCGACATTCACCAGAAATGATCTCCACTTATTTGCCCGCTAGCCATGCTTTTTTCATACACTGTCTCACCAATGTCTTGAGACACGGCTCAAAATTCTTCTCAATAATAGGTCAGATGTATTCACTTCGTAATCTCGTATCTGTCTATTACACTCTCTCATGTCTTTGTATGTTACCATTCTTTCTCTCGTACATTTCTATTCATTACAGCTGTTTTTGAATCGCTTGTTTCTCCTCTTTTGTGTACTATACATGCAGTGTGTGGCAGCAAGTTGAACTTCTGCACTGTTGTGCAAAAGTTCTACATTGAAACTCAAACATCGAGTCAGTCAGTTGGTAGGTGGCCACATAACTATATTCATCAGTGAAACGTCGTCTTATCACATGTTTAAGAACAAGAAAGCTTACAAATAAAAAGAAAAAATTTGTCTGTTTGTCTGACAATTTATAACTACGTGACTTACCGGGTAAATCATCCTCAGCATTGGGACAAACTTCTGCCTCTGCAGTGCTTGGCATTTCATCGAAGCCAAAACCACTACTACAATAAACATGGGCGAAAAATAAATAAATAAATAAAAAGTATGCAGTATGAATAATGCGGATTGCAACAGAATGATTGTAAATTTTTTGCTTTGCATTGCGTTGAAGGAGTAATGACGTAACAGTCCGAGACGACTGACTGTGATTAGGAAAGCATTGAGCTGCTTATGGAAATGTGTAGACAGTTATCATCTATCAGCTGTCCCTTTAGTGCAAGTTAAATTCTACTTAAGGCAATTGAAAATGAAACGGCATTGTGAATGTTGTGTGACTGAAAAGCCCAGGGAACAACTGTTTACGGCTGGTTTGAAGTGGTTTTCGGCACCAAGAAAATGCACCACAAAATAATAATAAAACAGCATATGAGATAAAAAGTAAAATTATAGGTAAATAACGGATAAAGTACTTCATCTGGAAGGAAAGCAGCCATATTTAACAAGTTCAAACATCATTCATCAATTACTGTTGAAAGGGGACGAAAGCAGGAAATCTCTGGAAGTTCACCATTGATGATTAAGATTCTTGCCCATATCCGATAACGTTTCGAGTAACCAATTCGAGCTATCTCTCGGACTCCAATCAGGGAGTTGTGATGCACTAAACAATGCTAACCTAACACAAATATCCTTCATCACCTCTCTTCTTTTTTCATCCCGTCCGAGGGCTAACGAACAGAGATTTGTAAAGAAGTCTCTACGATGACATTCGTAACACATGTTCAAGCCAACGGAGCCAGTGTTTCCAGATGAGGGTATTCAGTGAATGGTGAGGTTGACTGTGTCGAAACACATGCCATCTGAGCAGCAAGACAGCAGACAATATTTTAGACGCAACTGGTAGCAGACTGATACCCCTATGGTTGTCACAAGTGTTAAGTCAACCAGTTTTAAAAATAGAGCCCACATTGATGGTAGATCCTCAGTCTCCCATACCATAGTGAATAATCCAGTTAAAGCCATGGCCAGAGTCTAGCTACCATGTTTAAAAAGAACCGAGTGTAGATTGTCTGCGCCGGGTGCTTCAAGGCGTTTCAGTACTTCGACAAATACATAGTGCATCTCCACTGGAAAATAACGCGATCCACGCTTTCAAGCTGCAGTAACGATAGTGTTGTTCTTAAAGGGATGGGATAGTGTAGCTAGTCTCTAACCCAAAATAGGCAAGGTTTGGGGTTGGGTCCACTGGGGATCAAACCTGAATTTCCCACATACACATACACATCTGGCGAGCATCCTACCATTGCACAACTGACGCACTATTATGTATGTGAGGACTACCACCACCCATTTGAACCAAAACTGAGATAAGTGAACAGGGACTCAAACCAGGGACCCAATTGGCTAAAAGCCAAGTACTTAAGCCAATGAATGAGTGAATGAATGAGCCACATCTTTAAGCCCTACAACATACAATCAAGATCTTTCTTGTACAATTGTAGAAAAAAAAGTGCACAGAAAGTTATCATAAATTATAGCATCATATGGAAGCATATGAAGACGAAAAAAAGCAGAATTACATGTAGAGCCAATTTATTGGCTAGAACAGAATTCTAGTGTGTGTGTGTGTGTGTATGTGTGTGTGTGTGTGTGTGTGTGTGTGGAGAACAGGTCTCAACTTGCGATTCATCAGTTTAGTCAAAGAGGGCACTCTAGTGTATACATATAGTATGAATATATATATATGGTATACTAAAATAAAGAGAAATGTGACTTTTATCGAAGACAATCCCCTGATTTGAAGTCATTTTTTCTCTTGCCCCTCCTATCTAAGCAACAAAATCATGTTTCCAGAAAAAATATATATATAACCAGTCAAGTTATTAAATAAGAGTGCACTCATTGATAAAACTTACCTAGTTGCATCATAGCCAGTATCCGGTGACTGTGAATGTATGGCTAAAATAAAACAATATCGAGACAATGTAATGATTGTAATAATAATATTAATAGTGAATATTAATATACAATTAGTAGTCGTAATAGGTAGAACTGTGTTATCTACTACCATGCATATCACAATGACTCAACTAGCTATACTGGCCAGAATGAATGTTCCTGCAGATCGGATCGTATCATGCCAAAAAGGTGGTCTGGATAGCACTTATACTAAAAGCAGTTTTCAATTATAGTGTATGTAAGTCGTTAGACGTCTGTAAGCGAAAAGGGATGTAACACAACAGTGAGGTGTTCCCCTCAGATGACCAGCAAGCTAGCTAGGCTGCCACTAACACTCTGAAGATGAGGGGAATTAGAAAACATCTCTCTCGAACTACCTTACCTAGCCAGTGGAAAGATCTTAATACGAACAAAACTTGTAAAGCCACTGTAAACAGGTCGTGGATGACTGGCTACAAGCAGTTGTCCCCATGGGCTTTTTGGTTATCACTCAACACTAATGCTCCTTTGTTACAGATACCCTTAGGAAAAATCAACCTCCCTAATATGGTTACTCGGAAAGTAATCGTCGCCGATACACTTTAATAAGCTTTCCTGACCATCAAACACCCACCCACAAAACGCTGATGATACTCCACCCAGTTGACCAAGTTGAAGCAGGTGAATGGGTAGATTCAAACCTAGCACCTATTCAGTGGATTTCAGACGTTATTTGTAATTGCACTATCGAATTCAGTCGACAGAAAGAGAGAGAACCTGGAAACTATTGCTTCAAATGTGGACGGAATTATTTTTCTTTGCTGTTTTGAATTATTAGTAATTTATAAATCAAAATGTTATATTTAAGGGTTACAACTGAGTGATTCAAGCTCATAATTCAGTGCCTCCTATAAGAAGATTTTAATGTCATACAACTAGTCCTTAGTAGTGTTTAGGCTAACTGAATTCTCTCATCAATCGTGTTCTTAATGTGTATGACACACAAATTGATGATGAGCCTTACCACTAGTAATTTCCATCCACTGATTCTTAGAGTTTCTAGAACTCCAACGGCACAGTCTATACATCCCTACATGGCTGATTCAAACCAACAGTAAAAGACTTCATAGAATTTTTTTTGCCTTCCTTTACGTTTTCAGTGGAACATAGGGCTGCTTCAAGCTAGAGGCTTGAAGTTTCTGTAGCAGTGGTGATTATTTTTTACAGGATGGGGTTGCTAGCCAATCTCATACCCAACCTTCCCTCTTAACCAGCATTATTATTAGTGGCTTAGTGAGCGAGGTAAAGGAGTGCGTCGGTGGCTGGGGATCGAACTCCGGACCACATGTGAGGTCGGCGAGCATTCGTGAGTTGATGCTATGTTTTCGTTCGACCATCCCTAACGCTTTTCCAACTTAATTCTCTCTGTTAGCTAACATTTCTCGACAAATAAATCGGTAGTGAGGCATGCTTAACACTTTTCATAACTATCTTAACCGATGCAGCTTCAGAACCTCATCGACTAGCTTCCAACTGCCCCCCCCCCCAGTCAACTGTACGCTTTAATCTCAACTTTACTTAACACTTTATACTAATTGACACAAAAGACAGGATGTGAATACCTGTGGTCAAAGACAGACAACTCTTTTCAGGTCTTCCCATTTTCAATGAACATGTCTCACAGCTATAAAAAGTAGGACACAGAGAACTGCTGTGCGCAGTACACATTCTCAAATTGAATACCGGTGCGGTGAGAGCTGGCTACTAGCCAAAATTGGTGGACGGTAATTTACGTCAATGTTTATGTCCCCAATATTGGTCGTGAGAAGAATGGGAACAAAGGCTTTGCGTAGGCGGATGCAGTTAACATACAGATGATCTGACATTCAAGAAACAGTCATACAGCGATGCAAGGTTAACTTTCTGTGAGAAACAACCAATCAGACGACTGTGTTTTTCTGCTGACAATAACCTATAATATGTACATGAAAATCTATAAATATGTGTTGATTTCCTTAATAGAGGATCTGTTGCCTAGCGCTTATCTTCTGTTATTACACTGGATATTACAGTCAATACGCTCAACCATTTCACTCAGTATCTTTAAACTATGAGTCAATGCAGACTAGTTATGTAGCATCATCTTACTCTTGACAGGAGTGGATACCATCCCAAACATTCGAAGAATTCTGCTCAATGTATTTAGAAGACTCTGCATTTTGTCAATATCTACTCACCTAGAAGGACAATATTATCATCGATAAGATTCTACATTTATAACAAGTCAATTCTGATGGATAACTGCTACCTTGGGCGTGGTAGTTGGGCTTGCATATCGCAGCCTCAAAATGAAAATCAGCAAATATATATGATCTACGTATAATACATGAGCAGATATGTAGGGAGAGATCTTCCTCTTAAGCTATTCTCAGGATTAGTTCATTTCACACGCAGCAACAATGAAGGGTTTACAAATGTTCTATACTAGATACTTGAACCTTCATTTACATCATAATAAGAGTCACACTGATTTTGCCCAGCCCGAAGCATGTGGACTGAGACTTGAACCCAAGACCTATCATTTCAAGTCGGTGAGCTACACACTAACAAAATGGCAGAAGAAGTAGCAAAGACAGAACATCAAGTAAACACGAAGAAGACAGGGGTGATGGAGATATTTAACCGACAACAACAACAAGCACCAATCACTGTCACCACGAGAAATTTGAAGGTCACCACTTTCATTTATCTAGGCATCGTCGTTTCAACTAAAGGCGGCCTCATGCATGAGGATGTCAAAGTCAGCTAGAATTGAGAAATCAAGATACGTCTTCATTCATCTTAAATCGGTGCGGAAGTCCGCTTCACTCAGCATAAAGAATAAGATTCAGAGTTTCAACATTAATGCCAAGTTAGTTAATGCTTCTATACTATTCAAAGCTTTGGAGCGCGCGCGTCACGAAAGGCGTTCCCAACAGGCTACTGAAGGCTTTGATCAACACTGAAGATTAGATGACCAGAAAGAACTCTGACAGGCGACGAACCAATCAAGGACCTATTGCTCAACAAATATTCAGAGGGAAATGAAGACGGATCGGGAACACACTGGAGGAGACTGTTGAATGACATTACGCCTAAGGCAAATTCTCGAGTGGAACCCAAAATGGAAAATGAGAAGTTGGGCGCGTCACTTCGACGGTTACGTGGAGGAGATTGTGTTTGAAGCGGAGTTGAAAACTTATGGACAATTGTAGAGCCAGATGAAGAGGAGTGCAGAGAACAGGTGGAAATGGAGATATGCTACTAAAATCCTATGTTCGCCTCAGAAGCCAAAGGAATAATAATACATGTACTACTGATAAGCATACATCAAGACGATAAACGAAATCATCTACCCTCCACTTTGATATTATAAAACACCACGATAAATGAAAAGGAAGGGAATAGTATTGGTAATAATATTAATAAAGGCTGACAAATGGACGACTATTATTATTCCCTTGGGTTCCTAGTGGAACATAGGACTTCAGTAACACATCTCTACTTTCTTCTATTTTCTGCTGTCCTCTTCAGCTGGGTCCGCGGTTGCTCATAATCTCTCATCTCCTCCTCCAACTCACACTATCTCCTCCATGTCACCCTCACAACAACGACCCACTTGTCGCTTCCCATTCGGATTGCATGCAATTGATGACCTGGTTGGCGCACGATGTCATTCGACAACCTCCTCCTGAATATTTCTTGAGCAATCGGCACTCGCCTGTTGGTTTGTTCCCAGCCAGAGTTTCCTGTTTCTAATTCTTTCTGGATGGCTGGCCAGCTGGTCATTCGACCTTCAGTATGGAGCCGGCTGTGGATAAAAGTCTGTAACAGGCTTGTTGGAAATCCTTTTCATCACACGCTGGCCAAGTTCCTGACCCGTATAGAAGAACTGACTGACTGACTGACTTCACATTTGTGTTAAAAATCCGAATCTTCTTCTTCACGCTGGCTGAGAGAAGCAGAAGATTTCCAAACTGGTTACTGATTGATGAAGGCGTATCTTGCCTTTCCAATTCTGATTTTCTGACTGGCTGGCTTTGACATTTTCATCCGCACCGTTCGACTGTCTGATAGGCGAAGCCAAGATGTAACTTCTGTCAAATCTCTTCCGTTGATAGTGACTGGTGCTGGGTGTTGTTCCTGCTCCTGTCGGTTGGTTATGTTCATCACCTCCGTTCACCTCGAGTCTAGTCTTCGCTGCTAGCCAGTCTCTTCTGACAGTTTGTTGGTTTTTGCCTGCATGTCATTTACTGCAGAACTAAGCATAGATTGATTGTACTTGCATAATGCATGAATATATATATATATATATATATATATATATATATTTATACCGCTTTCCTACACTGATATATTCTTGCTTAAACATGCACAAGATATTTCTAAAATTAAGAAAGTAAACGAAGCCAATATTGTTTAACAGCTAACAACAGATATCTAATTAACCGCCCATTTGTTGGATCAATTAATAATATACGCATAGATGGAAAATATAAGATATGTTGTATATAACTACACTGGGACATACGCTAGTAAAACCGGTGAAAATCATGAAAGATTGAACTTGAGAACTCATTAACCATGAATACTTACAACTATGGCAGGAGGGGGGCAGGGGAGCCGAATTCAGTGCAGTCATTTTGTAAAGGAGACAAATCAACCTTGTTAATAATCAAATACTTACGGACCCAAAAAACAATCGAATTTTAAGTGGCTAACCACTATTGATGATTTGTATAAATGGAAAATAGGAACTTCTTCTTTCAACTACAATGTCACCTATTTGTAGCCGTGCAGGATAGAGTGTTTCCGAATGCTTTTTGTGAGAACCATAGATCACTGGATTTCAATCTAGAAGTTAAGCAGTGACAATCTTGTCACATGACTCGATAATATTTTGGATTCACTTCCTATCCCCCAACCCACCCCCAAAGAAAAAGGTCATGAATTTACATTACAGTGGTACAATAACTGAAGTCAATCTTGAGATCGATCAAATCCCTGCAAACCAACAGTTGAAAAAATCAATAATAATCTACCACCCCCACCACCGCCACCAATACAATATCATTTCAAAGAGTCATCTTGGGAGTTTTTTTTGTTTTACTTCAGTAACCATTACTCTTAGCAATCGACGAATGAAAAGACAATGCATTTCAGTAAATACTTCATTTGCCTCTAAGTCCTATTCCTTAGGTGAGTCAGTAGATCAGCGATAGAATACTCACTCACCAGCCACGCATTTGGCCCAAATCCAAGTACCGGCTGACTACTTATACAAACCTCTCTTAACCGGTAGTAGCAAGTTCAGTAAAGAAGAGAGGTTAGGCCTTAGGCGACCAACCTCATTCCAGTAAAAAAAGCAAAGCCACAGCTATTGAAAGTGTATAGCTGACAGCTTGAAGCCCTCTGTTCCACTATAATATTATTGTTATTATTATCTCCTTTAGCACTTAGAGGAAAATAGGGCTTCAGCTGAACGTCTCCACTGCGTTCGGTTCTCCGCCAACGTTTTCATCAATTGGCTCTACGTATGCTCACATGCGTCCATCTCCTCCACACACCACCTTATCCCTGTCACCTCCTCGCAATGCCGACCAACTCGCCGATTCCCATTCGGATTACACTCGAACAATGGTCTGGTGTGTGATGTCACTTGGTGATTTTCTCTGAGTATGGTCAATCCACCTCCACTTCTTCCTGCATTTTTGTTGCACAATTCGTTCCTGCTGGGTTGGTTCGTTCATTGCCAGAGATCCCTGTTCCTCATCTTTTCTAGCCGGCCATTTGATCCTGAGTAGTATTGAGTGAAGACAGCTGTTCATAAAGGTTTGTAGCTTGTTCGAAGTGCCCTTCGTGACGCAGCGCGGAGCCAAGTCTCTCATCCGTATAGTAGCAATGACTTCAGATTGGAGTTGAAAATCCAGATCTTATTTTTCATACTGAGTGCTGTTGATCTCCACACACACACACACACACTTGAGAGTAATGAAAGCTTGTCTTGCTTTCCCGATTCTCGCTTTGATATCCTCATCAGTTCCGTCCGCCTGAAACGATGCTTCCCAGGTAGATAGGTGAAGGAGGTTGCTTCTTTCCTGCTCGCGACGTGGTGATTTGTGCGTCGGTAGCACAGTGGTTAGGACTCTCGCCGACCATGCACATGGTCCGAGGTTCGATCCCCTGCCGACGCACACCTGATATCTATGGTCGGCCTGCAAAATTTAGGCTACCGATATCCATGCTGAAAATTCCATACTTGTACCAAAAAGGTACTGTGTGGAATCAAGCTGTAATGAAAAAAAATTTCTCCCATTGTTGCTGCCTGACTGTTGTCTTTTTTTGTCACTGTTGCTGTTGGCCATGAATCTTCATCACCTCTGTTTTCTCTTTCTTCACGTGAAGGAGGTCCTATCTTCGATACTCCTTCCCCCATAAACTCCCTGCCTTTAACTTGCATATCTTCCAGTTTGTGGGAAATCAGGCATACATCATCGGCAAAGTCCGAATCCTGCAAGTTTTTTTGTATGGATCCATTTTACACCTGTCTTCTCGTTTTCCGCTGTCTGTCACATTATCCAGGAGTCTACCGCCCACAGGCGTCGGTGGCACAGCGGTTAGGACGCTCGCCGACCATGCACATGGACCGGGATTCGATCCCCGACCGATGCACTCCTTTACCTCGCTAAGCCAGAAATGATGCTCGTAAAGAAGAAAGGTTGGGCATGAGACTAGCAACCCCATCCTGTAAAATAAACACTGCTACAGAAACTTCAAGCCACTAACTTGAAGCTATATGTTCCACTGGGAACATGAAGGAAAAATTATTATTATTCTAACACCTGCAATCAGGAAAATCATTGGAGATAGTGGGCCACAAAAACAGAGTGGAAAACGTTTCTTGCTCCTTTAAAATATCTTTCACATAATGACAGTCCGTGGCATATATTTACTTAGAATTCAACCACTAAGATTTTCTAACTTACAATAAAATAAGATAAAATTAAAAAAAACATCGACAACAACAACAACAACCACAACACTCATTGAAGACTTACACGTCTCTCTCGAACCGATTAAATGATGCGGAGAAGAAGTGATCGATAATCTATGCATAGCATTTTTACTATGAGTGTTAGGCGTAGAAACAACAGCACCAACACCAGCACCATTACCAGCACTAATCATGGCATTATTCTGTTGATTAACAAATTTGATTTGTTCTGTCAACTCAACATTAGAACGTATTAATTCATTTAAGCGTTCATGTAGTCGATTCTCCTCCTTTTTCCATTCTTGTTCTTTAGCTTCTAAGCGTGAAACTGAATGTTTGTGGATATGAGAGAAAATTTGGTTTTAAAAAAAAACAGGTTTAATAGCAATAATAATAATAATAACAGAAATAGTCAAAAACTAACAATTTCGAATGTTAGTTTTCAGGCGATTCGATTCACTTCAAGTTAAATCTAACAATGCGGTTAATCTCGTAGTTTGAAGATCCTGAATCCCACCTCAGTGGGGGTAATCAGCGTGTATTGCTGAAGTGCCCAAACATCTAGGCAGAAACAACTATTCAACACTTCTATAAATAGATCTTTTTATTGACCCATTAAGCCGTTGACTAAGCAATATGTCTAGAACAATTATCTTCCCCTTCTATGTTGAATCCAGACAGACAGACTTCCCATTCCATAGATGTAAGTGATATGCTTGCTATTCTGAACTTCATTCATTCGATTTAAAATTGAGGTGGAAGAACAAGACTTATCACTGATGATTACAATATCATCTACATACCTTCTATAAAGTGGCACATTTTCGATTAGATCCTCGGATAAACTCTCAGTGTACGATATATATATATATATCTTTCTATAGTTTTGGTTTGTAAGGATTAGTTATGTTTTACGGGTTGATCACGGATTGATATCAGTTAGAGAACCACTGAAAACCAGGGAGTACTGGACAGCTGCTGTTTCATCCTAGTCTGGGAATCATCGGCAGTACGCACCCACTGGGTTTCGAACCCAGGACCTTCCGGTTACAAGGCAAGCTCGTATACCATTCAGCCACTGGGACCCGATTCAATGGCTCGTGAATTCTAACTTCTACCAATTCGTGATTTAGCGCGACCCCAACCCAGTGGGTGCGTACTGCCGATGATTCCCAGACTAGGATGAAACAGCAGCTGTCCAGTACTCCCTGGTTTTTAATGGTTCTCTAACTGATATCAATCCGTGATCAACTCGTAAAATATATATATCTGCTAAATGGGCACTAAAGAACTTCATATGGCAACCGGATTAACCTAATAGGAACAGTTACCTTCAAATGTAAACCTAACATGGTCCAGTATATAAGAAGTAATAAATCCTTTGAATAGGATATAGGGAACGGGATGAAAACGCTACGTGTGGAAATTTAATCACACAAAATGTCACACTAGTGAATAACGAGTTTACATCGAAAGAGTACATATTCTTATTCATAATATTAATATCGTCAAAAAAATCAACTAATTCAAATGTATCTTTTAACACATACTTACAGAATTGTGTTTTGACTTGATGCAATAATTCTACTAATCATTTAGCAAGTTTATGAGTTGGGGATTTGCACATTGACAATATAGGACGTAGAGGATTATTGGGTTTATGTATTTTTGGTAAACCATACATATGCGGGAATTTACAATCTGATGGTTTTAATGAATTAAATTTATCTTTAGTTATAGCATTTAGGCCATGAAGCTTCAGCAGATTAGCTGTCACTGTGCCCTGCAACAATTGAATTATCTTCTGAGGAGGGATCACGGCTAAATTTGCTCTTATCATCAAGAATAGACATCATTTTACATTTGTAGTCACTTTTATTCATAACTGATGACTCCTGAACCTTTATCAGGTTTAGTAATAATTATATTAGAATTTTCCCGTAGCTCTTTCAAAGCTTTGAAATGCTGGGAATTTAAAATACTTTTCTCCTTTGTGTTGTTGTTTAAAAACTGGTGAGCTATATCCACCATCTTGGCCTTAAGGGATTTATTACTTCAATGTACTAACAGTATTAGGTTTACATTTGAAGGCGATTATTTACACCAAGTTGATGGTGTTGCTATGGGAAGTCCGTTAGGGCCCCTTTTAGCAGATACTTATACGTCATACATTGAGAATTTATCGAAGGATTTAATTTCAAATGTGCCATTTTGCTAGAAGGTATATAGATGACATTGTAATCATCAGTGATAAGTCTTGTTCTGCCACCTCAATTTTAAATCGAATGAATGAAGTTCAGAATAGCAAGCATATCACTTACATCTGTGGAAGAGGAAGATAATTGTTTATCTTTCCTAGACATATTGCTTATCCGGTACTTCCTTTTTTCCAAGTGATGTCAATTCGTGATATAACTTGAAATCAGCAAAATCCTTGCAAATTAACACTTAAAAACTGGTCTTATACCCACCCACTAGTGTTGCCTGTAGGCCTACTGAAAAGTCCAGACCAATGGAGTCGATCAAGTCTGGCAGCTTTGTCTGGAGGTGGTGCGACATATTTCACGGATTGTTAGAAATTGGGATTTACTGGCTGGATACCGGCTTCCGTCCTGAAGGTTTAATAGACAATGGGCTCGACTCTTCACTTGAAAGTCATAAGGTTCGATCCCAATTGGGTGAGGTAGTGGGTGTATCCTGGCTGTTCAGTACCCCCTTGATTCCATTACTTCTGTAAATGAGATCAGTTTGTGATGAATCTAGAAATCAATTAAATCCCTGTACACCTACACTTGGAAATTAACCTGATACCCACTAGGGCTCGTAGTTGTAGTAAGACGTCGTAACCAGTGAGGTATGACCAAGTCGCGTTTGAGGACAAATACTCGCAGGTGACTTCGGCTGGTGTTTACATCATATACTGCGAGTCGGCAGAAGTTAGACTTTATAGACCGTTGGATTCCTTCCCAACAGCAGAATGGTCAATCGGCTCATTGTAACCTGAAGGTCATGGGTTCCATCCATGATGGGTGAGATGATAAGTGCGTGTCGTTGAAGAGTCCCAAATTGGAACAAAGTAGCTGTCGAGTACTTTCTGGATTTCTGTAGTTCTCAAACTCAAAACCTCCCCAGGACACTAATTGTCTGCACTGAGATGTTATCGAAACTACATTCTTCTCACCTACCATTGCTTGTTAGGGCCTATTTCCTTAATGGGTTAGAATGTTTGACAAGTACCAGATATTGCTAATATCTTCAATGCATTTTTTCGCCTTTGCCACCTATCACTGTTCAAGGTCGTTAGGATGACTTTCAGTCAGCCTAGGTTTAAACAGCTTTTACTCCATAACATATTCGCAGCTCATCGATCATTTCAGATATGTCTAAAGAAATCTAGTGTCTTCCTGGTCTTATCCTGTGGTGGATAATGACTAGCACTGGAATTTAAGATGAGCATTTCGCCCTATTTGGGACTCGTTAGGTGGATATACTTGCATTCCCCAGTGAACGATGATGTTCCCGCAGGGACTCGAACCCAGTACCCCCTGTTTCAAATGCCAAGGCGTTATCGACTAGACCAATTAGGACACCAGAGCCGCATACTCTACAAGAGGTATCAGTTATTGTTTGTTTTGAATTCAGTTTTGATTCTCCTGTTGATTCATTGAACCGAGACGTTCGGCCTATGTTGATACGTCAGCAGCTCCAAATACGAAAAATTCGACGACGTCTGAGGACTAACCTGCTGCAGTTCGACGGGTGGTGACTAGCAATAGAGTCCAGGATGGGCATATAGTCTCATCTAGGACCTGCATTCCCTAGTTAGAGATGGTGTTTCCCGCTGAAACTAGGACGCAGTACCCATCGCCGAACAGGAAAATCAAAATTGAATTAAAAATGAAACGCCTTAACTACTGTTTCTAGGGTAAACAAAAACATGGTGCCAGGATTCTTCAGGATAAATATCGCCGTTATACTTACCCACTTTTAGTGTGTGTGTGTGTGTATGTGGTTAACTCCTTCGTTAGTAAACGCCAAGCCCAATACCTTCATCGGAAAACTTGACATATAGATACTGGCTACCGCTTTTTTTTATTTACGTCTACTTAGTCATCAGCATAAATTTGCTTAAATTAGTGGAGGTAATTAGAATTCAACGCAAGATGTTCCAAACGAAGCGAGATAATCTTTTCACTGCTTATAAAAGTATATACTATATACCTGCTGCTGCGGTGCCAGGTACATCGGTCGTTCGACGCGCATCCTGTCCAAGAGGACTCAAGAACACTATCCAGCTGGCATAGTTGCGAAAAGGCAATAGTGGTGCAATAAAGAGTACGATAATTGAACACCTGGTTAACACTAATCATTTCATTTTAACAAACGCCTCCTGCTTCAAAGTAATCTACAGAGTCAAGAATAGCCTATCAAAGGCAATACGGTTTTGTCTTCTTTGAATCGTTGAAGCTCTGGCCATTCACATAGAAAAACTGGAGCTGTGCATACAAAAGAAGATGATTACTCAACCACTTCTACTCTCATGGTAACAACTTTTTTGTTTTGATTTGATTTGAATTTTTTTTATTTTGATGACTTAATTTTGTTTAACTCCATTATGGATAAGATTTTATTTTGATAAATCGCACAGTGTTGTGCAGTAATATTAACAGTTAATGGAATTATACTCTACCACAGTGCCCAAGTTCTATACTTATATCAATTATATTAATTTTGTTTGTTTGCGTGTTCTTTAATTGCTTATAATTCTTGTATTCACTCAGAACTCTTAAGTAATTTCGTATTATCTACTTTGTTTCTACGTGCATCCTGAGTAAAACTCACTCATCAAACTATTCATATTATTATTACATAACTTCTTTTAACAAGTGTTTGTGACAACTCATCACCTTTGTTACTACCCTAATTTCATTAACACTTAATTTTCTTGACTTGTATTACCAATCTTCACCTGTTTAGTTAAAATAACCTGAACCAGCTGCAATTTTGTTTGACAAACTTAATGTACACATACATAAAAAATAACCCATATATATATATATATATATATATATATATATGCGATTGTACAGCTAAGGTAATGAATTCGCCGAAAAGAGTCTCTTCGCTGATCTACGTGTTTTGTTTTCACTAAACGATAAATTGGGAATACAATACTTAATTAGGAGTGAAATGTTCATTTGTCATACTCACTTCCTTTACTTGAGTACACTTCCGTCCTGTATTCACAATCACATGTGTGTGGTGTGTGTGCGGGTATGTGTACTTTTGAAAGTAATGCATTTATTCCAGTGTATAATTATGAATGGC